TCCTAGCGCTCGGCTATACACTGCAGCAGAAAAGTCAAGACGAATCCTAGCGCAGCAGAAAAGTCAAGACGAATCCTAGCGCAGCAGAAAAGTACACAGCAATCCTAGCGCTCGACTATACACTGCAGCAGAAAAGTCAAGACGAATCCTAGCGCAGCAGAAAAGTCAAGACGAATCCTAGCGCAGCAGAAAAGTAAACAGCAATCCTAGCGCTCAACTATAGTCAGGCTCAAAATCAGGCAATCGCATAAAATGCCGATCGTCCTTCAGCAGTTCAACTGCAAGGGCAAAGAAACTGGCCCATCAAACAGCACGCTCTGCAGAGAATGCCGAACAGCGCGAACATTGCTAATGCGCAACCTGGATGCTCCCAAGCTCTGCAACGGCACAAGGCTCACAGTCAAGCAGCTCATGCCCAGAGGCATCGAAGCCAAAATCATGACAGGCAAGGGCAAGGGCGAAAATGTCTTCATCCCAAGGATCCCGCTCATCCCATCAGACCTGCCATTTCACTTCAAGAGGCTGCAGTTTCCAGTCAAGCTGAGCTTTGCCATGTCCATCAACAAGGCCCAGGGCCAGTCCCTCAAGGTCGTTCGACTCAACCTGAGTCAGCCAGTGTTTTCCCATGACCAGCTCTATGTGGGGTGCTCCAAGGTCGGTAACCCAGATAACCTCTACATCCTCTCTGAAGATGGCAACACCAACAATGTTGTGTACCAAGAAGCGCTGCAGAACTCAACACAAGTGAAATTCTTGGGACAGATTTATAAAATTAGAATAAGGTCAGTACAGCCGTCATGGCAGACTAAATTCTAGCTCTTTTCTCCTTTATCCCGGGCATCGCCGGGTAGACCAGCTAGTTGTATATACATGTCATGTGTTTTGCCTACAGATCCGGTGCATGTATATTATACAATACCGGTGACGTCACGCGTACGCACGCCAGAATTTCAAACGGGAATTTCCAGTAGTGCTTACTTTGTGGAATAAAAGGATAAATACATGGTGTAAAGTTGTGTAAAGTGTTCAAAAAGATAGGTGAGATGTCCACGTAGATAGATGAGTGTTAAAAAGCCCGATAATTTTGCGTTTTGCGATCCATTTTTCGTGGGGACAGGTGGGGACAGGTTGCAGTTGGTATTTCCAGCCGATAATGTTCTATATATGCCTGCGGCAGTCAATGTACGCGGGCTATAGTACTAGAGTAGAGCTACCGCCACCTAGTTTTTAACGTTTAATAATTCTAAATATTATGTTATTACCAAATCGTATGCTTCATCGCCCCGTGACCGACGCGTCCGACTGCATATAATAGACGTGAAACTACTAAACTGCAATCATACTGTGATCAACAGTGTTGGGTTTATTCTGATCCTGATGCTCAATGATGCTCATTGAGCCACTGTCATTGAGCCTGCGCCATCCATGGCGCCATCTATAGGTACCATCAGGGTACCATCATGAATTTATAGTAGCCGTAGTAGTTGTGTTAGTATGGTAACAACGTATTTGGATAATCGTTCTTTGGCAAAAAATAAACAATAAAACATTACATGTCGATATTAGTGTTATTTTATATATACTTATATTGGATGAATTTTAAATAAAGACTATTTACATAAAGAAAAAATACATGTTATATTTAAAATGAACGCACTATATATTTATTACGACACCCCCACGAGTTGATTTGGAAGCGTGTAAAGTTGACATAATATAACCAGAGCATCCTACCGTAAAGTTGAAATAGCAGTTTGTACATAACTAGGCATAGTGTTACATTTGTCGTCATGGGCAGGAAACGAGATCTTACTTCAGCGGAAAAGAGGGGACCGGGCAGAAAGGCCAGAAAGCAAAGGGAACCTACGATGCCCAAACGTTTACAAGGTCTCAATATTTTCTTCGTGTTCAATATAGTGGAGCTCCCACGCGGCCTTAAGTCTCGCGCGAGCGGAGCACCATAGCCTAGGCTTACTTAAGAAACAATGGTAACCCATCCACATGATCCACTTTATTTTCGATGGCGCGTCCGTCCGTACGACGTACGTACGTCCGTGTACGCATCCAGCGGAGTTCCCACGCGCTACGTCACGTTGCGCGCGTTTTTGTTATCTCAAGAAGTAAACACTTTCCCGCAACCAATTAACCTTTGACAAAAGTTGTCATAGTGGCAGGGTGGGACACCATTGTCACGTGATATGCCTCGCACACACACACACACAGCAAGTTGCATAATAAGCGAAAATGGAGGCTAGGGACGTGCGTCTCCATGCATCCAATCGCATCCATGGATCGAAGATTATCGTCGAGTCACCTATCGGGAGCTCCACTTTTAGGCAGTGCCTAAATCTATATATTTTATTATTAACTTGACACTGCAGTGTGCACGCAGCACAGTGTTAGTGCAACTGCAAGCTACTCATGACAGTCACACCACCGGCACTTGGGCCGTTTAAGGCATTTTAATAATTCACTTATTGTGAATAAACAGATACTCTATTTACTACTAAAGTCTGTGATTGTGTACAGTTACAGGCTATCGCATGATAATTCCATGTAAATGCCATTGAAATGCTCCCCTGCAACACACAATGTCAATGTCAGTGTCACTGCACACATGCCGCATAAAGTTCTGCAAGCGTCAGGGCCACACTCTGCCACAGGAAGGTAGTGCACGTGGGAAAGCGTGCGTACCAGATGTGTGTATATTGTGTATTTGATCGTTTGTGCTGTGAAGGTGTGAAACAATGCGAGTGTTGTGCAAATTTGGCTCTCACGCTGTCCTACCCTCTCTGCATATTTCTGTGAGTTTATGCACAGTGGCATGTGTGTGGTGAGACGGTGTTGCAGAGGAGCATCAGAATGGTATTTACGGGGGAATTATTACTGATAATAGGTGAAAGATATTTGATAAACATGAAAACTTTTGTAGTAAATGCAATTCTTGTTTATCTTCTATTATTTTATTATTGAATTGGCCCAAATACATGTGGTGCCATTGGCATTTCTAGGCTGTAGGGATTCACTCACTGATTAACTAACTACCAATGCATAATAGCAGTCAGAGTATTTAAAATAATGTGCATAATTGTAAATGTATATTATATATACCTTCTTTCAATGTTTCCCCTGACCAAAAAGGTCTGTGAGGAATTTTTATGGTGTGTTTACACCTTTCGAGGTCCTAGCAAAGCAAGCACCACGGGTGGTCGTCCAGATTGGGGGGATGCCCCCCAGATTTTTTTTTTAAATGGTGCAATTTGGTACATTCTAAGCTATATTTGGTGTATTATAAGCATTGTTCTATGGAAGAACAGTGATTTTCGTCAGCAAGGCAGTGTTTTGCACAAATTTCTGTGTGGCAGCTGAGAATTTGAGCAAGGCGGCTCGCCTCGCTTGTGTCAATGCAGGGGAAACACTGCCTTCTTTACACTGCTCCACCACCTTTTAGTTGTATGAAATTGTTTTGACATTTACACATCCGGCACTATACTAGTAAATTAATGTTATGAGTAAATGTCAAAATTATACTGCTTTCTGAAGCAAACATCCAGTCAGTCTATGTAACAACATTGTATTGGATGTTTTGATGGTAGGTGAGACTATAACCTGGTTATATAAAACCAATTCACTGAGCATGCCCTGTTTCACTTTTAATGCCAAGTTGGTTTATTGATATCCAAGTATACAAATATCTGTTAATGCATATAATGTCAGACATATTTATTTTCTATAACAAATATTTTTTTTACAGAACTAGAAAATGGTGATACAGAGAAGGCACCATCTAAACGTTCAAGAAAAAGGCATGTACCATAACATATTTGTATTTCAATGCAATTCAGTCCAGTCTAGTTTCCAAATTTATTGTTCTGTAATTTAATTGGAGTAATCGTATCCCCCGCGACGAAGTCGGCGGGGATACTATGGTTTCATGTTTCCCCAGCCGCCGCTGCAGACAATTTCCCTTCCGCTCTATAACTAGACCCCTAATTGACCTAGAGCTACCAAACTTGGTATATTTACACATCTTGGGGAGAAGTTGAGCAGCGTACCAAAACCAGGTCACTGCGACCTTTATTTGACCTTTACCTTGACCTTGATCATATTTCCCTTCCGCTCTCTAACTCGGCCCCTAATTCACCTAGTGCTACCAACTAGTATACCTACACATCTTGGGATAAGGTGGCAGCGTACAAAAACCAGGTCGACTGCGATCTTTATTTGACCTTTACCTTGACCTTGATCATATAACTCTGCCCCTAAAGCCTAGGACACACTAGCGATTCTGTACGCTGGCCCGGCAGCATATATGTGTTGCTGCACGATTTTAGAACGCCGTACGAGTTGCGCGTACATGCGGCTGGACACTGTACGGTTTTAACTGATTCTTTTCTCGCCTGCGTTTATCGTGTACGCTCAGGTGTGCGTGTGTGTGGAACTCGTGGTTCGGTGTAGCAGATGTTAGACCAATGCGTGTACAAAACCCCAAAGTTTCTGCTTGTGCGGGTTAATTACCCTGAGTTAGCATAGAATGATAGATCAAACCAGACATGTACTACAACAACTATATATAAATATTTTACCACGATCGCCAACTTAAAGCAAACAAACAACAGCGTTTGCGTGTTAATAAAATCGTATACCAGTGCACGCCTTGCCTGCGTGCACAGAGGTTAGTTACAATTTATCACTGGTCTATGTTCTTAGCTGGTGCTCCGTCTCTCTCACGTACAGAGTACTCAATTTGCTCCACTCACTGTTTCTCATAGAATAGACCAACAGAGTTGATGTATATTGTAAACAGAGGTACGTACCGTAAGTAACGCCAAATACAATGACTCAAAATAGCTTTAAAGAGCGAGAGAGACAACAATACGCAGAGCCTAATCCTGCACTATAAGCCTATGATACATACCAAGGTGTCGATCAGTTCGAACGACTATGTCTAGTAACACGGTATATTATCAATATTTCAAGGATCATTGCCTCTATCTGAGTCAGCATGGCCTCCGCACGTCCCTGACGCGCGCCTCAGGGCGTCTTAATGGAATTGCTTTTGAACGGCCAGCCTGACCGCTCGTAGTGTGCCTGACCATTGTAGCCACGATAATCTAAATCGTCGGCTAAGACTTATTGTTTTCTAAAACTGTGCCGGCATTCTATTCCTTAGGGCTAGCCGGTAAGTCCCCTTTCCACTGTCCTTAATGCTTTCCGGCCTTTGTAATTAACTTTCCCTCTTTGATGCCAATATTTCCTTCATTACAGGTGTCCAACCACTTCCAACGGCTTTCCTAGCTTTTGTTGCTACACTTGATTGGCTGCTAAAAACAATCGCGTTCGAACACGATGATTCATTGTTGGGCGCGCTGGCGCAAGCGCATGCAAGCGCATGCGCTATACGCAAGCGATGAAAAACCGTGCGGAAATATTCAACATGTTGAATGCGAGCGATCAGCCGGGCGTATGGGATCGCGTGCGAAATACGCTGCCGTGAGACCGTACACATCGCGCGGACCTGGCACCGTATTTATCGATCGCAAGCGGCCAGCGTAGGAAATCGCACAGTGTGTCCTAGGCTTTATTGACCTAGAGCGACCAAACTTGGTATACTTACACAATAAAATTCATATCTTTTGGTAGCATAGTTTCATCTCAAAACAGAAGAAGCATGATACACTTCACAGTTCCATAGCAGTTGTTTACTGAGCCTTCCACTATACTGATTTGTAGGCATTCACATGATCGGTAGGGTACTCATTAAGTGTATAGTTTGCTCCTGAAAGTATCGTGATACGTATCGTTTTTGTGAAAGGTGTATCATGATATGCGTCTTATCGTGAGTTACCTGTGGCGTCCCACCCCTACTTTTTACCTTGTATATTATCACATTTCGTACATCACATCAATGGAATGATCAAAGTTTAAATTGCATTTCTTTATTGTAGAGTTGTAGTGCTATATAATTATTATTCCTCTGCAAAGGTTGGCTAAGAAAGAGACAAAAGAGCATCACAAAGATGCCCCACCTTTCAAGAAGAAGGCCTTGCCAGTTGAAAAACCAGAAGGTGACGAAGAGAAAGATTCAGAAATTGAAGGTGAATCAAGTAAGTGGCAGTTTTTTCTTTTATAAAACCCTGTATGTACAACACTCGTGAATGTATATATTTTTATATACTGCTCACCATGGCGTTTCAGCACCACACTCCAGATAATTAAGGGCTGATAAATATTGTTAAGGACTATTAGTTTTTTTTTAGATCACCAGCCCTGTTGCCCAAGGAGCTAAATATAACAAGGAGAGGAAGCGGATTGGTTGTGTGCTTTTCGCCTCAAGGACGCCATCTATGGACCATAATTAGCTGAAACGGCTGTGCAGATCCGTCCCCCAGGGACAATAGAACACTAATCTGTTCTGGACCAATATGACCAAATATGGCAAATAATTGGGCCAGATATGGCGGCGCTTCCTCTCCTTGTTATATTTAGCTCCTTGCTGTTGCCCAGTGAAAATTTCAGATTACTGTAAAAGCCGTATTTTTCACGTACAGATATTTTCGCAAATTCAGACTTGACGGACAATTTCGCGAGTGGTTAATTTTGCGGTCGGTGAATTATGAATTATTCTGTATTATTCGGTATGAATTATTCGCGTGAACATTGTTATTTTCAGGGTCGGGGACGCGTTCACGAAATTCGAGAAAATTAAACCACCGCGAAATATACAGCTTATACAGTAGTTTCAGTACAGACCTTGAGGTTTGAAGTAAATACACATTAGTTATAGACTAGTACATGGTGTACGTCATCTTGTACAGCACATGAATCTATCCATCATTTTAGGCTATGGGCTATCTTTTTGTGTGTGTGTGCGTGCGTGCGTGCGTGCGTGCGTGCATGCGTGCGTGTCTGCGTGTGCGCATGTCTTCCATCCTCTGCTTAAAAGTCGGAGACCATGAGAGATAATACCTTTGTTGTATGTGAAAAATTGTGGTGCAGCTGATCGGCTAAGGTTCTTGTGTCTGTTGAGCAGGTGAGGAGGAGATCACTGCAGGCTACACTGACGACAACAAACAGTGGCTGAAACCTCGGCAGCAAGTGAAGAAGAAGGCTCTTCTAGAACCGTCAGATGAAGATGACAGTGATGACGATGACATGGTTTGTTATTCTCACATTTTTAGCTCATCTGACATAGTCAGATGCAGCTTGTAGAATCGCATGATTGTCCGTGCGTGCGTGCGTGCGTCCGTGTGTCCGTCCGTCTGTCAACAGTTGGGCACAAATCTAAACGGCTCAACGTACGGATTCGAAAGTCGGGACGTAGGGGGGTAATCCGAAAACGAGTTGGCATGTCGAAGCTGGGGTCAAAGATCAAAGGTCAAAGGTCAAGAGGTATAAAAGAAGGGGGAACATTTTCTCCTCAACTTAAGGTATAGGGAGGAAATGCTGAATTGCGGCACGAATCTAAACGGCTCGACCTATGCTCTTAATATTTGGTGTATAGTGAGATGGGCAGGAAACCCATCACCAGTGCGAAATTGGCGGTCACAGGTCAAAGGGCAGGGGGGGAAAGGTCACATCAGACATTTTCTGACGACATGGCCTAACGGACAGAGTGAAAAATTTTTTGTTTCAGCGCTCACGACCATTTTTATACTTTATTGAAAGGACATAATGTGTTTCCGCTTACTGCGAAGAGTAAGTTCTGATAACCTTTTGACCTCAAGACGAGCGTCAACACGGTTTGGTGACTGTTAATTAAAGGGACGAACTGCTTTGACTATAGAACCACTCCCCCGACCTCCTCTTCACCATCCTCTCCCTTCTCCCTCCCCCTCTCCCCTTTCCCTCCCTCCCCTCCCCGTACTCCCATCCACCTCTCCCTCCCCATCACCCTCCCACCACCTCGCTCGCGCTCCAAACGATATCCATGTTAATTTAGTGATGTAATTAATTACACAGCTGTATCTTATTACTTTACGTACGGCTTCGCAAAGCTATATAGATTTTGATCTGATCTAGTAGTATCTGTAATGCTCTGGGGCGAACGCAGTGCGGAGAGACCGTCTTGATTTCGGTTGCCAGTGAGTTTATTAGAGACATACCCGGCTACGTACACTCAGCTTTGCAGCGCTGTTGCTTGCCGGCACTTGTTATAGTTTAGGGTCTATGATGGTTCTAGAATGCATTCAATCAAAGATTCATGTATTCTGCGCAGTTGCTATATTGTTACTAGCTCAAGTGCAGTAGCACACTGCGATATATCTATGTGATTTTCTAATGCAGTGCTCCCCACTTATTCTGCAAGAGTCATGATTTTTTAGCGAATTGTCTTTAGGACCTTACTTTATCAAACCATGTTTATTTTCAAGGTCTTTAAATAACAGTTGTTGTGGATAAAGCTCAAGTATATATTCTCATGAATAATTATTGTCTTTCTTCTTCTTCTTCTTTTCTTCGTAGTTAGTTATGGTTATTATTACTTTTTATTATTATTATTATTATATACTGGTATTTTTCAGCAGCAGATGAATTGACAACATAGCTGACAATGGGATAATGCTGCATCCAGCTCTGGGTAGCACGTGATGACGATTGACGATGATGACTGATGACTATATGATGAGGATATACGATCACTTTATCATCTGCTATTGTCACGAAGTAAACTGCTTGTTGTTTCAGTTAATCGGCTGACATTTATTTTACAAATCGAAACTGATCCCTTTATATTTAAGTATACTCCCACATTTATTTGACGCATATCCCGACAGCTTTGTTAATTCATGTTGATGGCTGGCTGAACCTGGTGATTAATATTAAAAGATTCATAAAAAACCATTTCATTCATTGATGGCATTTTGTTTAAACAATAATACCACTATAAGGCACGTATTACATAAGGGACACTTATTTTAATGGTTTTTCTCCCTTAGCTGCTGCCTGTTGAGAAGGCAGCCAAGAAGCTGCAAAAGAAGCAGAAGATGGACGATGCACGAGCCGAAGCTGAACTGCAGACAAACATATTGGAAACAGAAAAGTATGTTCTGCCTAGCGGACAGGAGATTGAGAAGGAGTCTGTTCAGCCAGCCGATCTGACACTGGTCCAGCAGCGAATCAAGGAGGTGCTAGTTGTGTTGGGAGACTTTGTGAATCGCCGAGAAGAAAACAGGTGAGTGATCGGTTTGAAATATGAATCGAGCGATGAGCAGGAATGTGGAACAAATAAAGTACGATGTACGCAGTACTTGGGGATATGTAAAGGAAGATGTGGGCTTCAATGCGTAACATGAACATCTGTTTGGTGTCATAAGAATCACCAGTAGTGTTTCATTGTCGATGATCTGGAGGTTGTTATGTGGGAATGTGCACTGCATACCAGATGTAAATATGATACGGTAAATTAGCATGTTTGGACTGATCCTCGAAACATATTCCAGTAACTATTCAGATGTTGTGGTGGTGTAGTCGAAAGCAATCATCTCGTTGTGTTGTTCTCATGTGTCGTGTTGTTTGCAGAAAGCGCAAGGACTACCTCTCTCAACTGAAGAGTGACTTGTGCACATATTACAGCTATAATGAGTTTCTAATGGCACTGTTAATGCAGTTGTTTCCACTCACTGAGGTTTGTGTATTCATCTACTTAGCTCGATTTGCTTAGACATCTTTTGGTGGGCAGGGTTATATACAGTAGTCATTTAGGCAACTATAAAACAAACTAGGGCAGTAATCGGTTGTTCTCAACGGAAATTTCGTGTGGTTTTTAATTGGTGTATATATATTCGCAGCACAATTAATAACTTGTCATATTGTCATGCAATTCTTATTCTAGCTGGTGGAATTTCTTGAAGCAAACGAAGCACAGAGGCCAGTCACAATCCGAACTAACACACTGAAGACCAGGAGAAGGGATTTGGCACAGGTGGGAATCATTGAAATAATGACGTTTTGAATGGGCTTATCCAGGTGGAGCCATGTGACTGCGAGCTAGGCATCTAAAAATGCATACGTAGAAATTCATGATCTTTTGCATCTTAGGCTCTTATCAACAGAGGAGTGAACTTGGATCCTATAGGAAAGTGGTCAAAAACAGGACTGGTGATTTATGATTCCCAGGTTCCCGTAGGTAAGCACTGTGCTAATTAGTTAAATGTGCTAACGGGTTATTGTTAGATTTAAACATCTTCTTAGTTGTTTTTAATTGATCCAAGCATTACCTTTGTCGCACACTATTGTGAGCTTTAGCACATGAAGCCAACTGCAGAGATTCAACAATGCATTAAATGGATAATAATTACTAGTGAAATTTTTCTCCCAGGAATCAAATTGCAAAGCACAAACAAGTTATATTCACAATGCAACAAAAATTCAAGAGTATTTAAAAGTGAAGGTGGTGAAATATATTGTAACTGCATAATTCAATAACAGTGATCAGTTGTGAGTAGCAGATGTTGTACTATAACCTATTTTCCTAGATAATATTAAATGTAGTTATGAATAGTCATAAAAGATCGAAGGTTTAGTGTGTAATTCCTATTTAATACAGGTGCAACCCCAGAATATTTGGCAGGCCACTACATGATACAGAGTGGTTCCAGTTTTCTGCCTGTAATGGCTCTGGCTGCTCAGGAGAATGAACGAGTGCTGGACATGTGTGCTGCCCCTGGTGGCAAGACACAGTATATCGGTAAGCTGCTCTTACCAGGGATAGATCCCTTTAGCCTCCTTTGTCGTAAGAGTGTCCTTAGTGATGGTGCTATATAAACCAACTGGCACATTGATAGGTCCTCATGTGACTTTCAAGTGAAAGTTTTTATTTGGACAAAGTTATTTTTCATTTAATTTTGATGAACTTAAGTTTGCTAAAGAACCATTGCTCATGTTGTTTACAATCATTACTAGAATGCGTTAGTGTCTACAGTATCAGAGGACTATGTAGTGCGCACGTATTCTCACACTTGGTAAGAACTTCTACATGATACACTTTATAATATAGTCTAAATGATTACGAATGTACATGTTTTCCAAATAGCTGCCCTGATGAAGAATACAGGCATGCTGTTTGCGAACGATGCTAACAAGGACCGTAGTCGAGCCGTAGTTGGTAATCTACACAGGATGGGCGTCACAAATTGTGTCGTCTCCAATCTGGATGGCCGAAAATTTCCAAAGGTGCAGATGAACGTGAATGCCTGTAAATTATCCGAATTGGGCTTTCAGTTTTAAAAATTTATATTGAAAATAATATGGGTCAATATGATATTATTAATTGGAATTGTTGCATTATCGTTAAAGTACCAGCAGATTAGTTTGATACATTTTAGGTCATGGCAAATAACATTCATTTTAATTAAGCTCTCTATAGCTAATAACTAAGCTCTCTATAGTTCTCTATGTGCCTCTCTAGTTGATCGCTATTTGATAATATTCACTTTGGACTTATTTCAGGTTATGACTGGATTTGACCGTGTTCTGCTTGATGCACCCTGTAGTGGTACTGGGGTCATTGCTAAGGATCCAGCTGTAAAAACAAACAAGGTATGCTTTATGGTTTTGGATGGAAATAGAAAATTAGGTTTTATTTAAAAAAATGAGTTGCATTTTTTAACATTAAATAGTAATGAGGAATGAAAGCCTAATTTTAACATTTGGTGCTTTGGTTGTTTGTATTCATGTTATGTTTCATATACTGCATGTTATATAGTAGATCTCTCTACAAACCTCATCCCCCTTCTGAATACAGTAAATGCTGTACAACTCTATAGTGTGTTATGATGTATCGTCATTTTCTCGTTCTATGCATTGCAGGATTGTAAAGACATACAGAGGTGTGCACACTTGCAGAAAGAGCTGCTCCTAGCTGCCATTGATTGCTGTGATGCTAAGTCAGCAACAGGTGGCTACATCGTCTACTCAACTTGCTCTATAACTGTAAGTGCTAGCACTTTGGATTGGAAACTTAACACCCATCATCACCAATGTATGGCTTTTGGTTTACATAGCCTTAATCTTGTTGTGTGACAAGGTGACAAGTTTATAATTTTTCCATATGCATACTCGTCTG